TTAATAAACAGACACATGTTCAGCATGAAATAACTGAACAGAGTATCTGTCTTTTTTGTAAAAGAGTTTACTCAGATACAGAATTTTTTATTTTTGAATTCCAGTGATTTATCTAAATTCCATCCTCATTTCTTTAATTTTTAGTATGGTACAGCGCCAAAAGTAACATTGGATTTAGTCAGCAAACCCATCAGTTCTTTAAGTCTCTGGTTAAAGCAAGAACTACAGTCATGTTGACTAGGGTTATTCCACTACTCCTCTGTTAGGCATCCCTAGTTAGGCATCCCTAGTTAGTTTGCCTCCAGGACAGGCTGCCTGCATATTACTGTTCCTAAGAGCATGCCAGACATTTGAATTGTGCCCTAAATTCCCAGCAACATAGCAGGAGGAAGATATGACAGAACTAACGAATCTGGTTTTGACATGAGGTTAGAACAAATTCTTCTATATTACGCACTAAATATATTAACTTCAGAAATGAGCTATGATTCATTTCAAGGTTAAACTTGTGCTGGAGCTCCAAGAAAGCAGGATTTTATTCAATGTACTTCTGAGCTGCTTTGCAAAGTGTCTGCACCTTGCACTGCCCTCTAGGTCATTCTGAAGGAAGGCCCTGGGGAGTTATAGGTTTATTCTTCTTAGCCTGAATTTTGGAAAAGAATAAATTTCAGCTCAGCACTCTAGCACATCTCCCAAACCTACTATTCCTTGCTGAAGCCTATAGGTGTCCATCTATCACTTTTATTCTAGTTTCTGTATGTCAGCAGTTGTATAGTAACTACTGCCCTTTCATCCTGCAGTGGTCAGGAGTTGAAGACTACAAGTATCCTGATCTTTGTAGCTGTGTGTCATGTCTCGTTTCAGATAGACACAATAGTTTGAGTCACCCAGCTGCAGAATAAAAACCACAGCCTGAGCAGTTGATAATTTTTGTGCTGCTGAAATGGAAATGAGAGAAGCAGTATGGTGTTTCTACACCTTCTGGTACAGACAGGCATTGACCTAGTGTGCCCATAATTTCTGTCATTCAGGTATAGACCTGAGGATTCGCTGGCAGATGAGAAATACACTCCAGTTACTTTATCTTTCTTGTGTTGTCTTTGTACTGTTGTGAAAAAAGGAAAAATGTGCACATAGTTTTCTGTAATTAGCTTGTACTGCTGCAGCCTGCCTTCCCATCTTTCCACTTGTACAGTCTCCAGATTAGAGACTGGAGGGAAAGAAATTGTGCAAATAAGAATCATGTAGTACAGAGGGAATTTTCTTTAACAATACAGAAAATAAGACCATAATTTCTTAGGTAGACTAAAAAGCCTCCATGAATCAAAAGGAGAAAAATTTAAAAAATAAACATCAAGTTAAAATTGTGAGGTAAGAAAGTGTTTTGTACTTTACCTATGTTCCTTTTCATACTATAGCTTTTCTTTTGTAACTTATTCCTTTAAATATTATTTGAAAATTCAGGAATATTAAATGTCACATAAAGTTATAATTGTAATTTATGAATAAAGGAATGCTGTGAGGTAAAAGCAAAACTTAAAAAAGAAAGATAACAAGCTCTAGCATATGAAAGAAAAACACTTCTTTCCTGGGAGACAAGCCACAGAAATAAATATGTATCTAGATGACATTTCTTTTTATCTTATTCAAGCAGAATAAAACTAAAATTATCCCACATGCCTATAGGCTGCCCTGGTGTAAGGCACAGAACTGTAGAAAGGATTATTTCATATGTGCATTTTCATTTGTTCCCTTTCTAAGATAAAAAAGCAGCTCATTCTAGCTGCTGAGAAATCATTTGGTAAAATAAATCCTTTAAAAATAGAAGACATTTCCACTTAAATATTTTTCAGACACTTCATGATATAATGAAGTACTTTTACCAGGGGCAAATCCAGCTGCTTATACTGACCTTGGAAAAAAACATTACATGAGCTGGCTAAAAATAAAGACATCATTTGGGGAAAAAAGCTATACATGATTTTTTTCTCTTAGACTTTTCCATGATGGAGCAACAGTATCTGGTACTAAAAGAAATTACTACTTAAAGGAGAGACAAAACCCATGATCTGTCTCTTATAACTGTCAGTCTTTGCATCCTAGTGGTAAGATGAGTAAAAAAAAGATGAGTGATTTACTCTCATTTCCTTAGTGACACATGCAGGAGCAAGACTTGCAAGATCACACAGTTTACAGAAACCATGAGACAAATGGGCCTTGTAAATTCATAATGTATAATGTCTACACAACCTGGCACTCAGTGGAGAAAACAGCAATGATCACCACTTCAAAAAGAAACATCTGGAAGCATAGTTCCTGCTGTTTTGCTCCTTCAAACACTTTGGTTTTTATAACATAGCCTGGTGGTCAGATCATTCACTCAGGACATGAGAGGACTGTGTTTTCTGTTTTGAACCCAAATGTCTTCCACTTCCCCCGACAAGGCATTAACCACTAGGGTTAGTGCTTTGATCCCTCTGTTTACATTGTCTCACTGAGCACCAAAAAATGCAAGGCAGACAGCCAGAGCAGAGTATGACACTGTGGCCTAGAAATTAGAGATGCTTGGATAGATTCAGGCTCTCAGGGTTATGTCAGTTCTTACCTCAGGAGATTTGATGTGAAGCCTGGGAAAATGCCAAATGCACCCATCCTCCTTATTATCTTCTATAATTTTAAATAGAACTGGATGACTTTTCTTAGCCAGAGAGTCTGGAATTTGAATGTTTCTGCTCATCCTTTCCTAAGTTTTGGAAATTGAATAGAGTTCACACTTATATAAACTGTTTTATTTTGTTTTTTTTACCTGGTTACTCTTCTTCCCAGCATGTAGATATTTTTTGTAACACTTCCAAGTTGTCTATTTCCTTTCCTGTCTTTCCTGCCCTTCCAGAACATCTGGCTATGGACAGGTGAATTCCTGTTCTCAAAGGTCTAGGATCCTGGAACTTAGGTCACTGTACATATCTGCTTTGGATCTGTCCCAAAATAATCTCAGGGAACTGCTGCTTTGTTCTTGCAAACCTAACTGGTTATTCTGCTATTAGACATATAACCAGAGTTCCTACATGCTGCAAAATTTTCTGCCTCAGGCCATCATCTTTTCCTATAGTCTGTTTTTTGATGTCTGAAGTTACAGGTAAAATAGAATTAGACAAGGCAATATGGGAAAAGATTTATTACTTGCAACTTCCTTATGAAATCCAATTTGATCTCTGTGAATAAAGAATTTGAAGCACTCATCTGTATTTTCTTCAGCTCTTCTTTTGTGAGAACTGCCTCTCTTTACCATGTGAATGTGCAGCTGGGAATTTACTCCCACTGAACTCAATGATTAAAAACAAGACTTCAGTGAAAAATGTTCTGCTGGAAAATACAGTAGAACATCTACAGTGCTATTCAACTAATAAAAATTGGTTCCCTGTGGTGTAGTTTGTGGGAATTGTGGGCTCCTGCAAGGTTTCTCTAAAGCAAACCAGATGCCTGTTTGTTCAAGAATGCTCAGTTGTTGTCTGACCTGTCCTCACAACAGCTGAAAGAGAGGAAAAACGCAGCTGAGTTTTACGAAGCTGTTAAAGCAAAAATTTCATAACTTTTAAAAACATTTTTAATGATACATTTTGGTTGTTCAGTCAAACCTTATGATACTTCCTCTTTGAAGCATAATTGTATTTAGTGAGTATACCTGCCATCTGCATATACTCTGATGCAACTGCCTCCTGCTAACCTTTTGTTTAGTCACATTAATTATACAGTGACATAGGTTATCAGTAGGATCGTCTGCTCTGGCTGACTGTGGAGCTTTGCTCAAATCCTGGATATATAATACTGTCCTACATTCCTTGACATTTGCAGCAAATAACGATCTCTCCATTTTAGTCAAGAAAATTTCTGCTGTCAGATTCAGCTGTTGTCCTTATATTGAAAGACTGCTTCATAATGCTACCATCTGTCCATTGTAATAAAAGATAGATCTGGCTTTTATACTCACCCTGCAATATTCTATAAAAGCATACCATATAAGAAACAGCTCTGACATACTGACTGATAGATAATTACCTCCCCTTCCCTTGGGTGCTGCTTTGTTCCAGTAAAAGAAGAAAAAAACCTCAAAAAATGCGTTAATAAAATTATGTGTGTTGTGTTTCTGATCTATGATATATTTCAAATAATCCAGTAAATTCTTCTATAGGCACAATTATTTTATTTTTGAAATATTTTACTTATTGGCCCAAAAAACTGTAAATCTAGATCTTGTAGATGAATACTTCCTAATCTGTCTTGCCCTGTCATTTATTTTCACAAACCTCGGCTTGCTGGAAGCTTTCAAAGAATGCTTTATTTTATTTTGGTTCTTTGCATCATTAGGAGGATTTTTCCACTATAACTCTCTTTTGAAGTCCTCTCTTTTTAAGAAAAAAAACAATTCCCAAATACTTCACAGCACAAGGGAAATGAGAATATAATGCATCAGACAGAATAGTTGATTTCTCCTTTTGTGAATGTGTTTGTGCCTTGAAATGGCATAGCTGTTGTGCACTTTCCATCCTCTTTTAAGTAACAAGATATCAAGGTTGATGATAAGTAAAATATATGACATGTTAAAATATAATGATTTTATTTCACATAAAATCCCATAAATGACTTCTTTAACTTATGTTTCCTTTATGCTCTCCTGTATTATTCACCTCCTGTATGTGTAAACACAGAAAGACTTATGGTGAAACCCTATATGCAGAAATTTTGTATAAATGGTCACTGGGTAATCAAGTTTAATGGCAATTTCAGATTTACATAAATCTCTTGATTTTCAGTTCAAATAGGTACGAAAGAACCTTCTCCTCTTAAAATCATGTACATTTCACAGATTGTAGTGATAAAATAGAAGATTAATTTTGAGAATTTGTTCTTGTACCACTACAAGGGGTTTTCCTACCTCCTGTATAGCTGTTGTAATCCCTGCAAAAGTATGTATAGGATAATACATTACGCAAACTTACAGCTTTCCAGCTGCATTATACATGTTTGCACGTCCATTGGAAAATTTTTGAGATCCATCGGACAGGAAAGTATTAAAGTCAATCTGAAAGAACACAAAAAACTCATTAAAATTATACTCCAAAAAAAGAGCCATAGAATTGTGCAGGAAGAATGCATGAATACAATGGAAGCAATTAGAAATAGAATACATAAATCAATAGGAAGCTCTCAAAATAGATCTCTATTAGCTGAACCCATCTAACTCAGTCTAGTGTGACAACATGGAAAAAAAAATTTACAGACTTTCAGAAAAATAAATTTTTCAGTAGGGTTGCCTAACTTCATGAGAAGTCTAAAGGAATGCAGCAACAGTGTGCCTTTTTGTGCTACAGCAGAGTTATTGGACTGTTCCTGTATTTCAAATCCTTGGCATAAAACTTACCCAAATCTACAGGAATTTCATAACATATGTCAGTTTCAAATGATGGTGGAAAAGTAGTTTTATGTGTTACTGTCCTAAAATAAAGTGCTTAAAATGTCAACACAAAGGTTTACAGAAACCTGTTATGATATTGATGGTAGACTGTAATGGCCGTAATTTTGAACTGTAGCTGTGCATCAGTGTTAGTCCTAATACTTCCTGTGAAATTCTTTGCAAATTATAGGCAAAAGAGGTATTTTTAAATTTTAAATAAATGCAATTATTTATCTCTTGAGTAGAACTTCTCTGAGGAATCAGAAAGAAGAATTTATAAGAGATAAAGGCATATGTTTTCCCTCCCTGGCCCTGCCTAGGTATCCATTCATCATTCAGGGCCATGACTCCACCTTCATTAATCAGTTCAGTTGATAGAATGTCCTACAAAAACCTGAGGAGCTCCAGTTCAGTTGCTTACACATAAGGCTCTTCTAGCATGGCAGTGCTCTAATCCCCCTCTCTCGAACCCACTCTTCTGTTTTTGGCACTAGGGCTAAAGGGAAGTGGGATGTAGCTGGAAAGGATAGCTATATATTTCTTGTACCTTTTTTGTTTTCCCCTGACCAAACCTTGATTCATTGCTGCTGTAACTTCTGTTTAGCCAGACAGTGACAGAGCTGCCGCATGAGGAGAGTCTGAGGGAAGTCAGACCCATCCCCTATTCCCATGCTGTTAAAAATAGTTCCAAAGGCAAATTCTGGCTAGTAGGCTAGTAACACAGCAAGTAATTTCAGAGACACCTGGACATTACTTTTTACTTCAGTATATATTTTAGTATTTTATGTTAAGTATTCATTGAGCTGGGAACTGTTACCTTCCATCATTTTCTTGTCTGAATTGTTCCAATGCAATTAGGGATGAGGAGAAATTAGGGAATAAAAGAAAGAAGCAAATTTATAAACTTTTTTTTCCTTTTAATATGTGCACACTAGCAATTAGCGTATCTCCCCTTATCAGAAGGTTAACTCGCTCAAAAGCACATAGATAAACTAGATGCCAATGATATGATTATAAATCTGTTTTAGAAACTAACAGTTCTTAATTAAATCAAGGCAACATAAACTTTCTGGCTTCATAAGAAACAGAGGAACTCTCTGGTATCTGCTTTCAGCACAATTGATGTTTTCCTTTATAATTTAATATTATAATATTTCTCACATTTGGGGTATTTCATTCAATTTCATGTGGCCATGAACTTGTCCCGAAGTGTATTGAAGTTGCAATCCAAACTTGTGTCAGCTGAGTGGTGGGGTCTACACTGTGCTGTATTTATTTGGAAGGAGTAAGGCAAGGCAGGGAGTTATTTGATTAGAGTAAAACAACAGCCAGTGTCTCTTGGGGTGACTCAGAAAGTCTGCAGATAATTGATTTAGATCTACTTTCTACTTGAATCCAGAGAAGGAATCCTTTTAACCTACTTTGAATCTGTTTCAATCTGACAGAGTACATGTTGTGACACTGAAGATTGAGTATGTTCCCAGACTGGCAGACTAACTTCCTTTTGGATATGAAACCCTCATAAGAATTTTAACCCAACCCTTTCTCCATGTGTAAGCTTGATAAAGTGATGCCTAATTGTACTGGAAGAAGGGAAAGAGGAAGGAGACTCTTTTGCCACTGACACATCCACGCAAGTCATGAAGTTTTCTTTTTCTCCAGTATACAACTGTTTACAGATTCCTGATGTCTCTTCAAAGAGTCTAATTATGCTTTAATTCAGTGTCATAAAAGCATGCAAAGCAAAACACTGAGTAGACAATAGTATATTTATTTTGAAAAGAGTAACAGTTTGCACAAGTGAGTCACTGCTTCAATATGAAATCTAGTGGGGCATTAGCATACTTATACCAACGTGTTTCTCATTAGATTGGGTCTTTGAAGGCAGTGGTAAAATGCCTACTGATGTCTGTATTAAAAGGAAAGTGGTGGGAAGAGAAGTAGGATAATTAAATTTTGTCAATACTTATGATTGCTGCTTTCAGCTTCTTAAAATCTTTTCAAAAATTTACTTTCCAGTTTTCTCTCCATCTCCAGCAGTAAATGACTTATCTTTAAATGTCAAACTTCCTCAAACAGGCCATGTGTTCATGTTGAAGTGCAACTGCAATATCCAGAAAGGGGGAAGAGAAGTAACATTGAATTGTCATGAAATTGGAGGAGACAACAGACTGTGAAACTCATACATAGGCCAATTCAGATTATAATACTACAGGATTGTTTGTTCTGTGCAGCATCCTGGTTCTTCTAGGCTCAGTACCTGTACTTTAAAATGGGAAAGATTATTTTTTCTATATGCATCCCTAATGAGGGATCGTTTCTATTTTAACACTAACAATGAATGTTGACAAAATTCGGCATTCAAAACATACATAATAGTTCTGCATGACTAGCTACTGAATATATATGTTTTAGCAATTCCCAATTGTACATTTGAGCTTCTAGCTGAAAAAATTAATTAGATTAGAGACTCACCTGATGGAATAAAGTACATTTCCATTTTTGAAAATCCGCAACAACTTATTATCTGTTGTAACTTCATGAAAATTGGCACCTTTTTCATTAGCAAAGAACAAATCAGGTTTCCAAATTGAATCCAGCATGGATGGATCTAAATCTAAAGAGTCATCTGGATATTCACTGTATGCGAGGCGTGGATCATTCCAATTCTGACGGAGAAAGATGTTCACTCGGTAATCCTGAATAAAAGAGAAAACAAGCAAAGCTTTATCAAGCATAGGGATTTAGCTTTTATTTCATTTCTTAGCCATGTAATCTCCTGTCACTCTGTGGATGACAAAAGAATTACTTAGCTGAATGCCAGAATGATACCTATTTATATTAGTGGGGACAAAATGGATAAGAACAAAGATGCATTTCAGGGCAATCGAAAAAAAATCCTAAGATAAGGAAATCCAACCTCCATGCATAGTTCATATAGTTCCATATAACTCTACCCCTATCACAAATTTGTCTTGAATTTGAAATGAGAAGCATAAAAAGAGTTTTATGGTGTTACCTTTTCCTGCTCAAACCTCTGCAGGGGTATTCCCACTTCTCTGACAGTGAGAATGTCCCACTGTATGGAAGTTAAATTATTTTTCTTTCTCTCTGTCCAGTCCTTACTTGTTTTAGACCCACCACACAAGTTTTCTGTGCCACAGTTCCCTATTGAACATTGTATGAGCAGTAACTTGCCATACAGCAGTGTAGGGAGGGCACATGTTCCTCCTCTCTTCAAGCAGGGTAGAAACCATATAAGTATTTATGATAAATTAGATTAGCTACAAGTGTGGTCACTTCAATTTTTACAGACAGCCCTGTCTTTATCAAGAGTGCTTTTATAGAAAAGATGAGGCAGTGCTTCAAACTTCTGGAAGTCATTTTGGAGCTGCACATACATTCTGTCAGAAATGTATTTATGGCTCCACACTTTCTTACAATTTTACCGCTCTGAAAAAAACTTGGTTTTAAATAAAGGTGAATAATAGCTTCTCATTACATTGCAGTTAGAACTAAGACTGAACATAAGGGCGCAGGAACTATACTTTTATTGGTCATAATAAGATTTTCCTCATTATTTGAACTGCATTAATGAAAAAGATAAAAATAAAATAGAGAAATAATAGGTTAGCTGAATGTGGAAATGGCAACTCGTTGTCAGACCTTACATGACACTTCTAAATACAACAAAAGTAAAAAATAAAATCACTTTTTTATGGTAAAAAAAGATGATGAAAATTAATTTTAACAAGAAAACTTTTTGAGTCAGAATGGGAAATTAAGTGTTGAGAGCTGAGAAATACAATTTAGCCAAAAAATATTGATACTAGTTATTATAGGTTAGACTAACTAGTTAAAACTCCATTGGTGTAGAAATTGTTCATTAAAAACCCAGTATTTTATGAATCTTTCTCTTAGGGAACTTGCAGCATGCAGCCATGTAATGAGAAGAATCATGCCAACAGACATAATAAAGGACAACAGGAACCTCAATATGCAACATTTACTCATAAGAAACTTGAGAAACAGTTTTTCATATATTCAGCATCCTGCTGTTTTGGTCAATTTAATCACTCAGCTTGATTAAGGGTAGCCAATATACTAAAAACATGCTTACGAAATATTGCCAATCAAAAATACTGCAAATTGTGTAGAGATAGTCCCAGTAAAGAACTTTATGTTCACATAACGATAAAAAGTTTTAGGACAAGGAAAGTAAGTAGAAAACTAAACTGAAGAATGAAATTCATTCAGATTACTGTTTCCAGCAGAGAGGAAAAAGGCTCTCTGACCAAATGAAAGCATTAAATGCATAGGAATTGTTAAACAACTATTTTATTTAAAGAAATAAACTGTCAATTAATTTGTTAAACACACATGCACAAACACACCCCAAGTCCTTTCAGGAAAGGACTGAAAGAGATTTTCTTTTTCATCATGGGTAGTGACAGCCTCAAAAGCCATAAAAAGTTCTTACGAGAACCTGTTGGCATTTTTTATAATTAGTACCATGATGTGCTAAAACCACAGCCAGGGATTTGTACTTCACAGATGTAGAAACAAGTTTGTATTTTCTGTGTGTTTCTAAAATAAGACAAAATTCTTAGAGAAGCTTGTGCCTCAGTGCTCACAGAACAATACTTCTGGTGCCTTCTAGTAAGAGGGAATAATAACCGCTGAAATATGCTTATTTCTTTGCATGACATCCCAAATACCATGTAGTAGCAGTTTCCATTCCAGATTGCTGTATAAAATCAAAAGGACAGGAAAAAGAAGAATGTGGGAACAAGGATGGCTCCACTGCCTTTCCCAGCATGGGCAATCCTTGCACTGAAGGAAACGTTAGCTCTAAATCCAGAGCACTGGGGTTGGAGCACTGCAGCTCTCAGGACTTTGCATTTCAGCCCAACCCAAGCTTTATATTTTAAATTATATAACCTGAGAGATGTCTATTTACTTTACTTTTGTCAGTATAATACGAAGAGTTTATGGACAGGTTTAGTTGTAAAGGTCTTCTCATGTGTGCAAGACAGAAGAGGTAAAAAATGCATAGCAAGAAGGCCAAACGAAAAAGGAAAATGGAGAATGACAAATGATGGAATCCTTTCAAGATTGTATTAAGTTATTCTACATGTCAGTATGAGTAAAGTTTATTGGTTTAAATTGTTTCCAGCTTTTAAGATGAAAAAAGAAGTCCTGGTTAAACTTCTCACTGAAGCAACTGGAGCTATTTTTCATTGTTATCTCCTTTGAAAACTCTGACTTAAACTGGCACTCAGTATTCACTAAAAAAAAATAAATCCTAATCTATCAAAAGGAAAGAGATATGTTTGATTGCTGTTTTATGAAAAACAAGTATTCATCATCTCAGCTTATCATTACACATTATGAGCACAAGGCCTAACTGCTTTAAACAAGTAGGGTTGTTTGATGCAAACACAGACACCACAATCAAATTGCCTGAATTGATTGGTTATCCTACAAGAGGCTCTGTATTCTTATGTGCTATTTGCCTGAAAGGATGACTGCTAATTCAAATAACTGTGACAGAAAGGTTCCTTGAGGGAAGGGACAAATCATCATTTCAGTTGTTGTGACTTCCACAGCCTCATCTGTAACCTTCAAGGCTGCCATTGTCTGAACAGCTGCTGTACCCTGGTTCTACAGAATGAGAGTGAGACATGGGTCTGTACTTGCTTCATCATACTTCAAAACCTTAGCCACAAGGTGGCTAAGAGGTGGCTTAGAGGGTCAGGATACTGTCCATATGCTTCATAAGGCTCAATAAAATAAAAACTGGAGATCAGGTAATTGCTCTCTGCTGTCCATGCCAAGGCTTGGGCCACTGTGGACCTCAGTACTAACATTTTGATTAGTAATTTCCAGCACAGAATATTTTGATTTCTACTTCATTATACTTGTACAGATAGAGCTATATTACGAAAACATACAGAATGTAGCTTTATGGAGATTTTTGCACAAATCCTCAAGATATTAATTTCCTAATTTTCACTATTTCTTTAATGCATTTTTCATATGCACTGCATGTAGAATCCTTCTAGACCTGAGGGATTCCAAAATATGCCCCTCATTTGAACACTGAATATCATCTGGTCCCATAATTTTTGTATGCTGTTATTTGAACCAAGTCTTCAGAATTTCATGCATAAATTACAGAACTCTCTCTGTTGCTGTTCCAAATATTATGATAATTTATCTTACTATATACCTCTAAGTGAAATCTAGACTTGTCTTTTGTATAATGTAGTAAAATGATTCTTCCTTCACTTGTTTAACATGGAAAATTTTAATGTGGAAATCTTACAGACTTTAAAGAACACTGTTATGAGTAAATATAAGACACTATAACAAATATTGTTCTTGTGGAAAATTTTTTCTTCATGTGTTAGCTATGACACTTGTAATGAAAGTCCATTTTTCACTGCTATATAAGAAAAGTTAATAAGCTGCAGAACATACTGATACCTTTAATTTTTACTGCTAAGATTTTCCAAAGTTACTGTCTTGGTGTCTGAAAAAGATGCAAGTTGACATGCTTTTTATTGATGCCTTGACTAGTATAATTAGACAGGAGGGCCTGTGGCAAAATAGCACTTTGTGGTGATAACATCTTTCCATTTAAAATTTATTTATTGTTCTTAAGCACTGTGGCTGCACTGTAGGTAATTAATTACTTTGTCCAAATGGATGGAATTTTCTAGTTTTCCTTTACATAGCTGGAAATTTCAGACTGGGCCAAAAGTTTTCCAGCTAACAATTTCAATATGCTTTCGACAAAACTTTTCTAGTACAGAAACTCAAACATTCAAATTGAAGTTAGCCACTCAAATTGTCAAGTCATTTTCTATGCAGGTTACCAATGCCATTGCAAAATCAAAGTAGGAGAATAACCTTGAAAATCACACTCGCGTTTGAGAAATGCAAATACAGTTTTTGTATTCTGAAGGATTGCCTTGTATTTCCTCACGCTTAGTAGCTGGAATTCCATCACTGCTGGGATTACTTATGGTGCAACCTTATCTGTTCAAAAGAATATGCAAAAGAAAGTGCAGGGAAGGATGATACAGGACTGGAAAGGGTAGTCAGTTCTGTGAGAGCAGACATGAAAAGGTGGATTTCTTTAAATTGATAATGCAAAGGATTTGTTTTATGACTTATTTCTCGATTGCTTTCTGTAAGTATATCAAAGGGGAGGAAGAAAACATTTTAAATCTAAAGATGAGAATATCCTTCCTTAACTTTCAATAAATTTAGACTGAACTGAAATGGTTCATCTATTTCTTACACCAACAAATATTGGTGATATTTTCATTGGTCTTATTTATTACAGCAAATAAGGGGATTATTTATTTTTATTACATCTTTGCACTATTACTGGAGTACTGTTTAAAGTTCCCATGTTCCCATTATAAGAAGGGAACTTTTTGAGCAAGTCCAGAGGAGTGCCACAAGGTTGATAAGAGTACAGGAAAACCTCTGCTACAAAGACAGGGTGAGAAAGTTGTGGCTGTTCAGTCTGGAGAAGAGAAGGCTGAGTGAAGAAATTTTTTACTGTGAGAATAATGAGGCACTGGAACAGGGAGGTTCTGGATGCTGCAACCCTGTCAGCATTCAAGGGCAGGTTGGATAAGGCTTTGAGCAATCTGGTCTACTGGGAGGTGTCCCTGTCCATAGC